GGGTGCGCCGGGGCTTCTGGGTGCGTCGGCAGGGTCAGAGAGCGGGGAGGGCTGCTTCCCGCGGCCGGGCGGTGTCTGCCGGTGCATGGTGGGAGGCGTAGTTTTCGCGGACGTGGCTGCCGGCCACCCTGCCGGCCAGCCGCGTGGCTTTCGGGCGCGTGCGGCACGGCGGAGTCCTTACTACTGCCGCGGCCCCCACGACGCGGCACGAGGCGTAGTTTTGTTGCCAGTTCCGTGTGTTTTTCTGTGGGCTTTCCGCCGCGCCCGGTCCCCGACGAGCCGTGCGGCCGCGCCTCGAGGGCGCGTGCCTCTGCCCTCGCTGCTGCCGCCCGGCGACCGAAATGCGGTACTGCCGTTCCAGCGCTGCGAATGCGCTGTTGCGCGCGGCCGCCGCGCTCGCACTGCCGCCCGGCGACCAAAACGCGGTAGTGAAGGTGGAGCGCCGCGCATGCGCTGTGGAGTGTCACGCCGCACCCACTACTGCCTCCCAACGACCAAAAGTCGGTGCTGCACCTCAGGTGCTGCGCAGGCGCGGTGGCGCGCGACGGCCGGCTCGCTGCTGCCGCCGAGCGACAATAATGTTGTACTGCAGGTGGGGAACCGCGCATGCGCGTTGGCGCGCGACACCGTGCTGACTGCTGCCTCCTGATGAGGAAGTTGCGGTACTGTAGGTGGGATGCTGCGCATGCGCTGTGGAGTGTCACGCTGTGCTCGCTACTGCCTCCCAACGGCCAAAAATTCCGTACTGCACCTCATGTACCGCGCATGCGCAGTGCGCGTTTCCCCGCGCTCGCTTCTGTCCTCGGCGACCAAAGTGCGGTACTGCAGCTTGGGTGCTGCACATGCGCAGTGGCGCGCGACGCCGATCTCGCTACTGCCGCCCGGCGATCAAAAGCCGGTACTGCAGTACGGACTCCGCGCATGCGCGCTGGGTTCTTACACTGCGCTCACTGCTGCTACCCGATGACCAAAATGCGGTACTGCAGCTCAAGCGCCGCGCATGCGCAGATTAGAGTCACGCTGCACGCTCTGCTGCCGCCCGGTGAGCAAGAGCCGGTACTGCAGCTCAGGTGCTGCGCATGCGCAGAGGCGCGTTTCCCCCGCGCTCCCTGCTGCTCCCCGGCGACCGTGACGCGGTACTGCAGATCGAGCGCCCCGCATGCGCGGTGGTGCACGACGCCCAGCTCGCTGCTGCCGCCCCCTGGTGACCAAAAGCCGGTACTGCAGCTCGAGTGCCGCGCATGAGCGGCGGAGCGTGCTGCCGGGCTCGCTGCTACCGCCGGGCGACCAAAGCGCGGTACTGCAGCCCGGCGTTCGCGTGCCGGCTCTGGCCCCTCCAGCGTGCCGTCGGCGTCCTGCGCATGCGCACTGCCCGGCAGCAGCATGGCGGCGCGCTGGCCACCAGCGAGGTGAGGGAGACCCTTCGGCGGG